CACACACACACACACACACACACACACACACACACACACACACACACACACACACACACACACACACACACACACACACACACACACATTTATACTAGATTTGAAACTTTGCAAAGTGCGCGGAATTGTTCTTTAGAGGCAGTAACTGCGCAGAGATAGAGACTGACAGACAGACAGACAGAGACAGAGAGAACGATGGATCTGGGGTGTTCGTCTCTGTGTTTATTTATAAAAGTAGAAAAACGTAGTATATAAAACTGCTCTTTATCGAGATTTATATTATTTAGGCTCAAGTTTCTACCTTTTTATACCATTCAGATATAAACGCAATGTAAACGATCAGAAATTTTAAAAGTGTGCAAAACCCTTCCTTTCCTCCTTGGATTCTGGAATAAGGTCCTTGTCATGTAGTAAGGAATGCCATGCTGTTTTTGACTATAGTCCAGAAAGTAATCAACGGAACTTGACGTTATAGACTTTAAAAGCACTTTTTTCTGTGCTGACAGTCACCTTTAATGCTGTTCCTTTGTAACGTTAGTAATATATATACATTTCTGGTTATTTATGTAGAAATATCTCTTATCCACCACGATGATAGAGGCCACTTAGTCTGTTTCCGGTTTGGGTTCTGGTTTCCGTGTCATTAAAAAAAAAATCTCTTTCTAGATATCAAAGCTAACCTTCCTAATTGGCTATTATTATTTGTTTCTTTGATTGTTGAAACATTTTGCATTTTCATGCCGTCATTTTATGTGACACTCACTCTTTGCCCAGTTTCATCCATCCCATTAGCGATTTTCTTTAATCTCTTTTTTGGTCACAAGCAAAAGAAAGGCTGAATTGAATTTGATTCATCGTTTTCTAGTCCGTCTCTGCTGGTTACGTATATAGAGGTACTGCTTCTAATGTATTGCTACTACTATTATGACAACCAGTATTACCACTACGACTATTGATCCTACTACTATTATGATTACTATTGCTAATACTAATACTGCTACTACTATTACTACTAATAATAATTCGACTGCTGTTGCTGCTACTTTTGTCATTACTACTACTACTACTACTACTACTACTACTACTACTACTTCTACTACTACTACTACTACTACTATTAGTACTACTACTACTACTACTATTGGGGGAGCGGCGCAGGAAGCAAACCGAATGGGCGAGGCTGAAGGGCTGGTAAAGCGAAGTCCAAAAGCAGTTGAAAAGCATTTTGCACGATGCCCTTCATATGTGCAGAAGTCGGGGCTTGAGCAGGAGACAAGCGTAGACAAAGCATGTCTCTAGACACCTGGGCCCGTATCCACAAAAGTTCTCAGTCAATTCTGAGAAATATTCAGGAGTGTCTGAGGAAAAATAGGTTGGTCGTTCATTTACATCGTTGATCTATGCTTATTTAGTAATTACTTACTCATTAATACATAAAAATGTTTGCAAACATGTGTTTTCTTTGGCGAAATACAATATTGTGTTTGCACAGCACAAACAAATGAGTCATTACACAAGAAAAACAGAAAACAATGATAAAAATGTGAAGATGGCCTTTGCTGAAGCGCCATGGCTGTGATATCGCTGTATGCTTGAATTTGTAAAAACTAGGGAATGCTTGTTTTTTTGTTAGAGAACAACGTATAATGATTATGAAAATACGCACTCTAACAGTATACAAAAAAATTATTAGGGATGCAGTGCAATTCTGCCGAAGAGTAGAAGGCCATAGCAGCGGTCCTATTATAATTTTCACTAAACTAAAGAGCCATAAATCGAAGTCAGATCATGAATGATTATATAGTATTTATCAACGATATTTATATATTTTTTTTAAAGATATACAGAATATGTGAGATTTTGTATAAGTTAGGGATGATTCTTTTATGGATAAAGAGAAAATATGTATAGCAGATTCCTTGTAAAAAAAAAGATTGATTTGGTTACACTAGCTATTCATGAAATGTTAATGAAAACCCTGTTACCTGTATGTATATATGTGTGTGTGTGTGTGTGTGTGTGTATATATATATATATATATATATATATATATATATATATATATATATATATATATGTATGTAAACCTAATTTACTTATGATCAGATTAGCTCTACAATTTTGGCTCTCAGTATAATAAAGAAATATTAAAATAATTAGAGATTTCATTTCAAAAGTAACTCATGATATATACATATATACACTTATACATATATACACATGTATACATATACATGTGTACACGTACATCCATATACGTGTGTACACGTATATCCATATACGTGTGTACACGCGTATCCATATACCTGTGTACACGCTGTGTGCACGCGTAAGTACTAAATAAGCATAGATCAACGATGTAAATAAACGACCGACCTATTTTTCCTCAGACACTCCTGAATATTTCTCAGAATTGACTGAGAACTTTTGTGGATACGGGCCCAGGTGTCTAGAGACATGCTTTGTCTTCGCTTGTCTCCTGCTCAAGCCCCGACTTCTGCACATATGAAAGGCATCGTGCAAAATGCTCTTCATCTGCTTTTGAACGTCTCTTTACCAGCTCTTCAGCCTCCCCGCTCGGACAATTCTGAATTTTTGCCTCAGAATTGTCTGAGAACTTTTGTGGATACGGGTCCTGACTTGTATTGAAAATATTGGTGTGACTTTAAGCTTGGCATTTTCTGTATATTTTAGAGCATTATCGTTGCTATTTCTATTATTGTTGTTATTAACACCGTTATGATTATCATTAGAGAAAATTTTATCAACATCAATATTATTCCAGAGTTAAAATTGAGATGTAGAATATTTTACTGAATAGTAAATATGCTTCTGAATAAGAAAGAAATGATTTGTTTCTTTTTTATAACCTGTCAATTCTATACATAGGGACGAGACGTGTTTCAGTAACAATATATTACAGCACTATTTATCATCATCATCAACTAGGAGCTAACGCCGACGGAGGCGCATAGCCGCATCCACCTTTTGTTTATACCTGCGAGGATCCCTCATGGCAAGCCGCCTGGCAGGGACCCGGCCCATCTCGAGCTCTTCACGACAGGTTTGATCGATCTGCCCAAGCCACGACTTTCTAGGTCGTCCCACAGGCCTCCTCCACCCAGGGCTGTCTCGAACAGTGACAACCTGACGGGCAGGATCATCCTGAGGAAAGTGAGCCAGGTGGCCGTATAGCCTGAGTTGGCGATCACAGATTGTGCAGATAACAGGTCCTGTGCCAGTCTCACGGTGCAACCGTTGGTTGGACACATGGTCCCACCAACCGTACCCCATGATCCGGCACAAGGACCTATTACAAAAGGCTTCAAGACGAGACTCCAAGGCACAGGATATTATCCAGGTTCCACTATCATATAGCAAAACTGGCCTTCAAAACCCGTAGCTTGGTCCTTCTGCACAGGTACCGACATCTCCAAATACTCTTGTTGAGAGAGTTCATGACCCCTGCTGCCAGGCCAATCCGTCTGCTGACTTCATGGTCTGACAGCCCAGAGTTATGAACTACACTACCAAGGTATGTAAAGCTCTCTGTGACTTCAATGTCCTCGCCGGAAGCACGTACCGACTGAGCAAGTTCTAGCAAGTCCCCAAAGTCCTGGACCTTGGTGTTGGTCCAGGAGACCTCTAGACCCAAAGGTTTCGCTTCAATGCTAAATGCATCAAGAGCCACCACTGAGGTTTCTAAAGGCTCAGATAGAATAGCAACATCAGCAAAGTCAAGGTCTGTAACCTTTGATGCCTCAGTAGGTGCTCTCTGATACGTCTCAGAAGGATGTGGGCGAGAACCTTGCCTGGTACACTGAGCTGTGTGATACCTCGGTGACTGCTGCAGTCCCATTGGTCCCCCTTCCCCTTCCAGAGAGGGATGACCACACACTTCAACAGGTAAGGAGGAATGGTACTGGACCGCCAAATGGCAGCCAGGACAGCATGTAACCCCCGCACCATAGGTTCACCACCAGCCTTTAATAGTTCAGACACCTGCTACTTTAACACTCTTCAGCCCCCCTAACTTCAGTTAGGGAGGGAGGATCCTCACTGATGGGTGGGTCCGGCAACGGAATCTCGGTACTCCCCGCATCCAAGTTAACTGTTGGTGGGTCAACCTGGTACAACTGCTCAAAATACTCAGTCCAACACTCCCGCACCGCAACAGGATCTGAGACGATCTGGCCACCTACTGAGCTCACCTGTGAAGTGAGCTTGGAGTTAAGCTTTCTCAGGGCTTGGTATGCAGGACGAAGGTCATTTAAAAAGAAATGGTCTACCTCCTCTGAAAGACTCCTAATAAACCGGCCCTTATCTTTTCTTAACAGAGACCGTTCTGCGCACCTGAGAACGGTGCAAATCCTGATCCCCTGTCAGATGAGCCGCACGACAAGCATCTGTGGCTTCCAGTGTCTCCTGCAAGATGAAATTATGTATTGCTCTTGGGTGTACATTAATCGTCTCTTGAGCTGCATAAAGCGTTTCGTGCTTGAAATAATCCCACAGAAGAACAGGGTCTGTCAGACTGTCGAGCATTGTGAAACGACCAGAGATTGCCTTAGCAAACCCACAGGCACACCCCCTCCCTCAGCCTGTCCAAATGAAACAACCTAGGGTGATCATTGGACCGCTGGGGAGTTTTGAAGTGGACCCGGAGGGTAGCCACAACCAATCTATGTTCAGTACCACAGAAAGCACTCCTATACAGTCAGCAGTTCTAGAGGATCCTCCAACGAGTGCTAATGAGCATGTGGTCTCCTTCAAGGTCTATATAAGTACTTATATAGACCTTGGTCTCCTTGGCTGCGTTACTCGAATCGCTGTACCATGCCCAACGATGCGGGCCTGGGCACTGGAGCCAGAAATCCTCAATTTCTGGGACCTAGTAAAGTCCCGGAAAAGGAGGCTATTCTCACTACCGGCATCAGCTTCTGAACCATTTGGGACCGACAGACATCTCATAGCCAGCTCGATCACAGCCAGATTCCGCAATGAAGTTACCTAGAACAGTACGTATATCTCGCCGGGGACAACTGTCTGCCACAGATGAAAGTTTGGCGTAGAAAATTTCTTTCACGTCAGGTTTATAAATATCGGTAGGAGCGTACACAGCAATAAGAGACGTGAAGAGAGAGAGAGAGGGAGGGAGGGTGGAGAAACAGAGAGTGGGAGGGAAAGAGAAAGAAATAGAGAGAGAGAAAGGAAGGAAAGAAAAAAGTGAAAAAAAATCTGCTCTCTCCTCATGTTTGTAAACAGTGCCTTGAGAGAACATTACAAACTCAAACCTTTGTTTTGTGTTACTTCAGCTGGCGGAGCAAAGTTTCTAGTTTTTATAAAGGTCTGCTGGATGCTGTTACGGTAGCTATAAAGATCACTATAATGACTGTTGATAATTATAACAAAGTAAAAGCGATGTCATCAATTTCATTTAAAAAAATGCCGATCACAGTAGTAATATCTAATGATAAAACAATGAATATGATAATGATAGTAATTTTACTGAATTTAATAACAATGATAATGATTATATCAATAAGAATAATGATGATAATAATGATAATAAATGATAATGATAATAATATGGTAATGAAAAGAGCGAGAACAAAAAAAAAAAAAAAAAATACAATTATAATAGTAATAATAATGATGATGGTGTTGCTGATAATGATGATGATGATAAAATGATAATGAGGATAAAATATTAATAAAAATGATAATGATAACAGCAGCAACAACAGTAAATATAACAAAAACAATAACAGCAACAAGGAGAGTAGTAACAATAAGAATGATAATAATATAAAACAATTATAGGAACAACAACAATTACTATTATAATAATAATTATGATAACGATAATAATGACGATAATGACAGTGATAAAAATAATGATGATGAATAATGATAATAAATATAAAAATGATTATGATAATGATAATAACGATGATAATGATGACAATAATAATAGTAATAACAATAGTGGTAATGATATTGATAATGACTATGACCGTAGCAAAGACGAAAATATAATGGTAATGATAACTATGATTACAGTAATGATAATGATAATTATTATTACAGTAATGAAATAGTAAGGATAATAATAGTAATTATGATAACAAAAGTAATGATAGTGACAATAATCATGAGAGTAATTATGATAATAACTACAGAAGTAATGACAATGACAATAATGATCATGGTTGATAATGATAACAATAATAGTGACAATAATAGTAATAGTAGTAGTATCATTAAAAGTAGTAGTAGCAGCAGTAGTAGTAATGACAATGATGATAATAATGATAATGATACTGATGATGTTAATAATAAAGATGGTAATAATAATGGTAATGATAATAATATATTAATAATAGTTGTAATGATAATGAAAATTATAGTAGAAAAGAATAATGATAATAATAATAGTTATAATGCTAATAACAGTAATTATAGTAACAATAATAATTGTAATGATAATGATAATAATGATGATGATGGTGATGATAATGATGATAATTATAATAATAATAATAATAATAATAATAATAATAATAATAATAATAATAATAATATTAATAATGATAATAATGATAACAGCATCAACAATAATACCAGTAATTATAGTAATAATAATAATTGTAATGATAATGGTAATAATGATAATGATAATAATAATAATAATAGTAATAATAATAATAATAATAATAATAATAATAATAATGATCATCATCATCATGATAATAATAATGATAATAACAATAATAATAATTATAACAACAACAAAACAACAACAACAACAATAATAGGAGCCATGTTAACAGTAGATACAAGGATAATAATAGCAATATCAATAATGCTACTGCTAATAGAAACAACTGAAAATCTGATCGATATAATAATGAGTAGAATCAAATTGTTTGCAAAGACAATTATAACTAGAGTGTTGTATTCACTATGAAATTGTGATATATTTAGCGTGATACCGATACTGATGAGAAAAACAATGTAAGAAATTCGATAATGATAATATTTACTCAATTGGTGTTCATTTGATGGCAATGGTTGTGTCATAGTAACTAACTTTATACTGCGGCAGTTATACTAAAAACAAACGTCAGCACATGTGCATTTTCTTTTTCATTCATTCTATTTTTACATCATCCAGGTTCCTTGAACTTGAATAATTTGTGACTGGCAACAACGTAATGGGACTTCACTTGGCGCATTTTCATTGGTCCACATAAGCCGGAGGCCGTTACCTTTACCTTCTCCATAGTGGAAGCTCTCCTTTCAAAATCTATAAATGCATCTTATTTTTTAATGGAAATAAGTATGTACCATTCATTCGTTTGAGGCCCTTTTCAAACCCAAAGGTGTTTCGAAATTTTTAGAAATAAGCAAGGGAAATCGCGGGAAATCTCCATCGCAGTACGAAAGTTTGGGTCGAAGAGCGGCGTCCGGCAAGAGGAGGCGGTCAAGTGGCATTCTCCTGCTAGCGGCAAAGGAGACTACGCGTCGTCCGAGGGGGAGAGCGAGAGGGTGTGAGGGCCTAGTGCTGCTTCTTCAGGGAAAAGCAGGTAGAACAAGGATGAGGACTGCCATTTGGGTGATTTTGTGCTTCGGGCTGTGTGCTGGGCAAACGAAGGAGCCGTCCATCACTATTGATCCCGATGGAGGTAAGTTATTACATTGAGGTTTTTGCTTTATTTGTAGGAGAGATCTATCAAATTTGTAGCTTATTAAACAAAGTATAACTACAATTTTTGTATCATCATAGCAAACAACTGATGAAGCTACTGCGATTCTGAAGCAAGAAATGGTTTCAGAAAATTAACACTAGAAATTATACATTCATGAGACCTGCTCCTACAACAGGCTATTCTGCACTGTTTATGAACAGATGTGTCACCTACATATTTTTCCAAAGTTGACTATAGTGTACTAAAGATCCAAGGAAGGTAGGTTTTAAGTGTAGTTTCACATGTCATTTGATTGTATCATGGCAACTTTGCATGCAGTGGAGGTGAGGCAGCAACAAGACAGCCAGAGGGAACATACCCCTGATTGCTCAGGAAGTTAGGTTGTACAAAGTAAGAGTGAAAGTTTCATGGGATAAGTCTCGGAGACACCACAGGGGCTTTCAAAATTAATTTTTCTCTGATGTTAATAATGGTGTAAAGTAATAGTCGAAGTACGCTGCTCTTTACATTTCAACAGGAGTCGGCTAACCTTCACTTATGGAAAAGGACTTGGACTGGTTCCTGGTGTTATGTCACAAGGGAAGGTTGCAAGAATTGTCAGAATAGGAGAGGAGATTGTTGACCTTTGCTAGAGCTCCAAATGGAACAAAGATGCTGATTGGTATTAGACATATATTTTATGAACATGTATCTTCCTAACCTACTGTTATTGGTGGTTTCAGTGCATCCAGGCTGATAGATTTATAAACACCAAAGTATATTTATATCTCCATTGCAAGTTTTAAAACTTCGATCTTACCTGTTTTATTCGTATCTTATGAGATTTACCCAACAACAATCGGTATAATTACACTAAAGTCTGGCAAGGATAGATTTGCATTATTTGCGTACCCCTTGGCACTTGGGTGATTTTATGACTTGTGGTAGGCCATGTGAACTTCCCCTGTTGATAGGAACTTCGACTTGTAATGTTATGGTAGCACATTGCCCATCAACATTGAGTTGAGGTTATTGTAAGTTCAGTCATGTTAAATGCTTACAAAACTTCTGCATGTTTTCCACTGACCTCTAGTCAATGGGCATGACTGCTTAAGTGCATTAGTATTCCATTTTGGGCATCTTTACAGAGTGCTCTTGTGTAGGGAGTGCCCGGAGAGCCATGGATCAGCTCATATATTTCTATTATACCATTCCTGATTTTACTGTTTTGTAGTGTCTGAAGTCAATGTAAGGAAATTCTAAGTAAGACAGCTGTGCCTATTTGGTATGTTTTCTTTCTTCTACCCCCTTCAATCTTGGGGGACCCGTGGAAAAATGGAGGTTGAAAGGGGGGGGGGGACACACACATGGGAGAAGTAGTGGAATCAAAAGTGAAATTTTTTGGTGAAAAAATGCAAAATCTAGACAAGAGGCCAGTGCCGCTGCAAGATGCGCTGTGCCGGCTAACCTAACCTAACTTGGTCACCCTTCCGTAGGGTATTTCCCTACCAGGGGCAAGCCCCTGGACCCACATGTGGTATTTCCTTACCCCTTTCCTGAGGGTATTTCACCACACATACAAAGCGTACTCTCTCTCTCTCTCTCTCTCTCTCTCTCTCTCTCTCTCTCTGTCTCTCTCTCTCTCTCTCTCTCTCTCTCTCTCTCTCTCTCTCTCTCTCTCTCTCTCTCTCTCTCTCTCTCTCTCTCTCTCTCTCTCTCTCTCTCTCTCTCTCTCTCTCTCTCTCTCTCTCTCTCTCTCTCTCTCTCTCTCTCTCTCTCTCTCTCTCTCTCTCTCTCTCTCTCTCTCTCTCTCTCTCTCTCTCTCTCTCCAGATAGTCAACCTTTGAAATTCAATTAAAGCACAACCTGTGAGATCCCCACAGTTTTATTAACTTTGCTGACTTGTACGAACACTAGTCAATAATTCTGTTATACTTTCCTCGGTATATGTAGTGTGACTGCCTTAATTAGTAATGCCCAAAGTAATAGCACCTCGCACAATGCTTCACTAGGGTCATTTCTGGTATTAGATTGTTTGCCTTCCTTGGATCTTCTCAAGAGACTGGATATCCCGCTTCAAGTGCAAAGACCATTGTTAATATGCCAATAATGATTATTGTTGCTATTATCATTAGGGTAATTATAATTAATGATGTTAGACAGTTATTGCGATTACTACTAGTCTTATGCTAGTCAGTTTGATTATATGCATTTTGTCTCATTTGCAATGTCTTACATGTTTTATATACAAAAGTCTTTGTCATGTATTGCAATATGTATAATCCGAGTTCTTTCACAACAGAAATCCCAGTGGTTGAAGGATTTGGCGGGAACATCGATATTGTGGAAGAAGACGATGTCCTTGTTTTAACAAGGGACAATTTCTTGCATGTTGTAAATCCAAAAGATGTTATACTTGTTGAGTTTTATGCACCATGGTAAGATATTTTGCAACTATATATATATTTTTGTATGTATTTATTGTGTTTTACACCTGTAGTATTTTGTAGGAGTTGGAATGCTTAATATTGATATTGTATTTTTTAGAGTTTGTTTGTCTTGAGTTTTCAACACTGTTCTTTAGCTATTATTTTATAGTGATGAGTAAATACGAATTGGAAACAGGTGTGGCCACTGCAAGTCTCTAGCCCCAGATTATGCAGCTGCAGCACGTGAGTTAAAAGAGGATGGTATACATCTTGCCAAGGTGGATGCTACAAAGGAGACAGAACTTGCAAAGGAACACCTTGTGTCTGGTTATCCAACAATAAAACTGTTCAAGAAAGGTCAACCTGTTGAAGACTATTCTGGAGCAAGGACATCTCAAGGTATTGTTTTTCATTCAGAAGTAGTGTTAACTTGATTGAAGTGGTTGCTCTGCTTATCATACCAAATATGAATACTCGTATATTCCTTACCAACTGAACATCTAATGCATTTTTATATATATTTTCCTAATACATAAGGAACACATGTAATTAGATGTTAGTTTGGTGAATTTGTGTGTTAAGTCCAATCTGTTTGTCTCCACAGCTATTGTAGAGTACATGCGCATGCATGCTGACCCTAACTATCAGCCTCCACCCTCTGCTGTAATGGTCCTAACTAGTGCTAACTTCTCAAAGACCATTAAATCCAAAGAACTCATCCTTGTTGAATTTTATGCCCAATGGTGCCGCCACTGCAAAGCGGTAAGATTGCTAGTTTTATAGGGTTTGTTAATTTTTATTCATTATATATATTAGGTAAATACAGAGCAGTACAGCTTTGATGAAGTTGTATGCTATTAGTATGTACTGTTTATTATGTTTCTGTACATTTTGTTAAAATGGAGCAGAAGTTAGTGTTTGAGTTGTATTGGGTTTTCAAGAAATTTGTGCATTATGTATTCATTCCAGCTTGAACCAGAGTATGAAGGAGCTGCCAAAGAGCTGTTGAAAGTTGGTATCCCACTAGCAAAGGTAGATGGCCCAGAGGAGAAGGAACTTGCTGATGAATATGGAGTTTCTGGCTATCCAACGCTTATGGTTTGTCACTTATTTCTTACTTTGTAAATTTGACATTAGAGCTAACCATTGACCAGTCAGTAATTATAAGATTCTGTAATGGTATTTACATTTTGTTGATAGGTGTTTCAATGTCTAATATATATTTGTGTATCTACTGTCAGAAATATAACTATAAACAAATTATACATTTTGTTTTTACTGCATATCTTTTGAAGGAAATTTTCCCAAAGACATTGATATACAAAATATTTTTCCAGGTATTTCGAAATGGGAGACGATTTGACTTCAAAGGTCGGAGAGACTTAGAGGGAATTATAGAGTACATGAAGGAACAAGCCAAGCTTCCATCAATGGAGATAAAATCGGTACTAGAAATGCAAAATAACATGGCTCGAACAGATGCTACCATTATTGGTTACTTCACTGAGATGGGTGACATGTTTGAAGAATATATTGGAGCAGCTAATGAGCTCAGAGGTATGGTGAGCAGCTTTTTTTCTACATGATATTTTAAAGATATTATGGAATGTCTTTTGAAGATTTTGAAGTGTCGCAAAGTCAACAAGTACCCATTTAATATTGTTAAGAATTGGTTTTACCTTTAATATGTTTCCATTGAAATACCTGCCAATGTAGAATCTACAGGTATGTTTTTTTTTTTTTTTCTTTCTTTCTTTCTTTTTTTAATGAAGTTAATGCTCTTAAGGGGGTGTTTCCCAGGGTGATTGCCATAATAATTTGTAGCTACTTCAATTATTCCCATATTTCTGCTCTTGTTTTTGTTAATCGGGTATTGTTTGAAAGTACTTCTCAAGCCAAAGTAAATGGCCATTGTTAATTTTGCATATTGCTTACAGGTTGTGGGTCTAATCAAAATAAGTGTAAAATAATAAGCAAATCTAATAATCTGTGCAAATTATTTTGCATGTTGAAAATTGCGAGTACATTTTTTCTGCTGGTGCTGGTGAATAAAATTATACAAGTAATGAAGATTGATCCAGAAATAGCCTAGCTTATGCAGGTTTTATCTTGAAAAAGTAAAATTTTCAGGTCAAGCTAGATAAAGATCAACCATATAAAATATTAGGTATTGATATATATTAGATGGAAATATAGATTTTATTTATACGCTTTAGTCAATATAGACACTTTCACTGGGGATTGAGAGAAATGGGGGCTATAGCATTCAGCATGCTCACCACATTCCCGCTCTCCCTCTTCTTCCACTAGCCTCATGTAGTCTGCAGCTACTCACATTAAATGACTGACTGTAGGGTAAATTTAGTAATCAGTTTTGATATGCTGACATGTAAGGCTGTGCATCATGTTTCATCTTGGGGATATGTGGTGGATAGGGATTTGTGCTGCAAACTTTACATCCCTGTACTGTTTTTCACACCTTAGCTAAGAAGTCCCAAACAAGGGCTACAAAAAACATAGTGATCAGGAACTAGTGTCTGTAAAGGTTGTCCCCCTTAGAAAGTTGTTGTTGCTTCTGCAATAGTATTGTACATTCACAGTAAGAGTGTGATTTGTCCAAATAAGCAATTTGTGGTAATTTGTACATAGCCTAGAGAAAATTAATGCACGTATTGACTGCCTGCAATCCTTTTTACTAAAAGAAAAGAATTGAAATATCCACGAAACACCCCCTTTAGATATACCTTTTTAATAGTGATGTTCCTGCCTTAGGTGCTCTGAATTCTAAGTTTATTTCTTTTCATGTACAGGCAAACTTCCTTTCTACCACACATTGGAGCCATCAGTTGCTGAGCATTTCAAGCTAAAGGACAATTCCATTACAGTTATTATGCCCGAGATTTATCATTCCAAATATGAAGACCGTGTTTTCAGATATACCAAGGTATGATAGTGTGTATTAAGACTTTTTTTTCCCCCCAAAAGTTAATGTGTAAAAAGTAATTGTAGTATTACATTGCAACATATATATATACAATTGTTTCATGCAATTTAAATCAATAAATGAATAAAGATATATATAGGTAATGTAGGATTATTTATAGTGATAGAAATATAGTAGATTCTGAGGAATAAGTTTCATAAGGTAACAGTTAGTTTTAAGGTAATTATATGGCTCTTGCTAGTGATTTTGGTAATGATGATTATAGGTCAGAGTATGAGATTGATGATAAGAATAATGGAAAATAAGATAAAAAGAACATAGTTTAATAAATCTAATAATAGTGAATGGTATATTCCATAAGAATTATCATACTGTGTAATTGTGCACAAATGTTTATAAAGATTAAGTGCGCACGCGTGTATGATTTATGAGAGTGCCTTATGTAATTTGGCTACATAAAGGTACTATGCCATGATCGTACAGTAGAGATACTGATTATATTTGACATTACAGACCACAGCAACATATAAGGATATTGGGCTGTGGATAGCTAAGAAGAGTGTCCCATTAGTTGGTCAGCGTACAAAGAGTAACATGGACTTCAAATATGAAACTAGACCCTTGGTTGTGGTGTACTATGATGTTAATTTTTCACATCAGTATGTTAAAGGTATGCTTAATGAATTGTTTAGTCTGTGAATATATGCTATATAAATATAAAGTCGGTGAATATACTAAGTTATTGCAGTTCAAGTTATCTTTGCTGCTCTTCATGGTAATTCATGAGCTGATATTGTCATTGTACTTTTGAACTGTACTCTTTTCAGCATTGTGTACCTTTTCAGGGGCATACATTATCACAACTCTAAAAATCTGTATATTTTTCAGATACACAGTTTATTCGCAATAAAGTCTTGCCTGTAGCAGATGCAAATAGAGATATCCTCTTTGCTATTTCTGATGAAGAGGAATTTGAAGACGAGATCAAGAGTCTAGGGTTGGAAGATTCTGGTGAATCTGTAAATGTTGGACTGTTCTCAAGTAAATTAAAGTAAGAATTTGGTTTTGTGTGCATTAAATGCTCTTTTGAATATGCATTTACTTATTACATTTTTACTAGGATTGTATTGTTTATGGTTTTGTTAATTCTGAAGTAAAATGAACATATCAGGTTGTCACTTTCTTGCAAATACGCTGTAGTTTTGAAATATTACTTTTATAAGTCATTTGTAGACAAGGTATTGATTATTAGTATTAATTGCTGTGTGGAAAAGCTTAATCTCATTCTTATATTCATAAACCAAATTTTAACCAAGTAAAAATTAGAATAAGCCTTACTTTTCTTTTCTTTCAGGTATCCTCTAGAACCTGAGGATGATTTTAGCTCAGATGTATTAAGTGAATTTATTGATGAATTTAAGGCTGGTAAGTTTAAATCAGTGTAGTCCCCACCAATCCCTTGCTTGTTGTTCTCGTGGGGGAGCTTAGGAGCCTGGACTGGCACCCAATTAATTTTGCATGGTCTCCCCCTCCTGCCTTTTCGTTTCTGTCCCTTCTCCAACCCCTTCTAGTATCCACTCCCTAAGGTGTGAGAGCTGTGCTGAAAAGATGAAAGGCTGACTTTGTGCCAGTCCTGAACAGCTTGAGGGAGCCTGCCTCACAGACTATGTTCTATCAGTACAGTGTTATTACTTTCCATAGACATGACCTTCCCTGTAATGTTTACATTGGTGGAGAATCCCTCTTTGTCCGACCATATCAACCTCCTCCCCATCAATGTCAAAACTGTTGGCGTTAAAAACATCATGCCAGACACTGATGTCCTTCATCCCGATGCCCTGTGTGTGCCCAACCTGGTTGTAACTGATCAAAATGCTCTGCACAGTCACACACATGTGCTAACTGCAGCGGCCCCCATGTTGTATTTTATAAGGGCAGCCCCACCTACGAGTTTGAGTTTGACGTGGTAACTTTCAGATACAGACTTGGTCTCACTCTATGTGAAGCCAGACAAGAAGCATGTTGATGAGATTTTTCTCATGCTCCCTACTCCAGTAATGTTGCTCACTGCCCCTCCCCCTCCCTCCCAAGATGTTCCTACACCCACCCCTATACCTATCCCTCCTACATCTTACTTCCCCAGTCTAATTCTTTTGCTACTCTTGATCCAGACAATCCAATCTCTACTGCAGCCCTAACACCTTCCCATATCCCTCCCTGCACTACCCAGAGCAGACAGACTAAACTTTTCACCCCTTCTACAACACACTCACCTTCACCTACCTTTGTCTCTACTCCTCACACCAGTCTCCTTTTCCACCCTTCATAAGCGAACCTTTGTTTTACGAAACTCCCCAACCAACTCCCATTTCAGAAACTCTTGAAGATATTCAATACTATCTGCTCGAGTCCCAAAATGACACCGAAAACCTTCATTCACCCTCAAATTCCACAATTCCCGTTCCCACCACACTCAAAGTGACTGCTGATATGCATCCTCCTCTGACTTGTATTCCCCTACACCCCAATATCCTACTCCCTCCCATCCCTTCCACTCCCTCCTGGGTACACACGTGAATCCGTCTTGTCACAACTGTGCCCTTCCCCAGATTCTCCACCTCCTGATGCCTTTCCTGGTACTACCCCCCCCCCTCTCTAATTCCTTATCTCACCCCCTTGCTCCTTCAAAATCTCCAACTTGCACTGTAACCATTATCATTCATAGATGAACTAAGTAATAGCTCTCCAACATTCAAATATTCGCAGTTCCCATTCTCACAGACCTGACTTTTGTCATCTTTTCTTCTTCACACTCTTATCTGATGTCACATTCTGATCCGCCCCTATGTCACCTATGTAATATCCCTCTTTCAGTTCCACACAATCTGTTGTCCTGTCCACGCTTTGCTCCAACCCGTACATCTGCTTTTCCCCACCTATCTTCCCTTCACCAATCTCCCAACCTATCAGACATCTTTACAGAATCCCACACTTTCTGCTTTGGCAACCTGTTCTCCTTTCTCTGACGCATACATATGCTTCACTTGATCCAATCCCTAACCCCACCATAACCACTCATCAACTCCTTTACCCATCTTTAACTTTTTCAATATTACTCTAGATAGTTGATGCATAGCAACTATCTACTAACACAATCACCCTTCACCACCCTTTACTGCACCTTCCTTTAGTGCTACAAGACCTTAGATGTCTAGCACATTGTTTATTTTGCTTTTAACCATAAACCATCACAGTGCAGTCATGATTGTAAGATTAAAAAACAGCAACAAATTACTAAATAATATTTGCTATACATATTAAACATAGAAATGCAGATAATTCAATATTTACAGTTGGACTGCTTTTTTTCTCTAGGAAAACGAAAGCCATTCCTGAAGTCTCAGCCCGTACCCAAGAAGCAGGAGGGCCCAGTGCGCATCTTTGTGGCCAAGAACTTTGAAGAGGAAGTTATGCAGTCAAAGAAGGACGTCCTCATAGAATTCTATGCTCCATGGTGTGGTCATTGCAAGAATTTAGAACCAGTTTATAAAAAATTAGCCAAGCAACTGTCAAAGAGTAATGAAGATGTTGTCGTGGGCAAGATGGATGCTACTGCCAATGATGTTTCTCCCCTGTTCAAAGTGTCTGGATTCCCTACGATCTATTTCCTCAGGGCAAATGAAAAGGATAACCCAGTGCCATTTACAGGAGAGCGTTCTCTGAAAAAATTGAAGGTAAGAAGGAATTTATTTTAATTCAGATGGCTTAGTGTACTTTCTATTAAATTAATTTTATCAATGCTCTTCAAATTAATTTATTAATATATTTTTCCCTTACCTTTCAGGAATTTGTAGAGCAGGAGTCCTCCATTTTTAATTATGAAGATAAACAAGAGGGTAATATAAAAGAGGAACTCTAGTATCTTAAGAAAACTGAAAGCTGAATGAGTATGGAGGACTATTTTATTGGAACTAGTACACAAAATCCAAAAGTAGAAAGGAATTCCAAACAGAATTATAACAATTATTAGAGTTTTGATTTCTATGCACTGTTCATTTCTTATTTTATAAGAACAAAAAAATGGAGAACTTTAATTTTGGTAGTGCCTTAGTTGCAAGTAGCACAAGGATTTTAGTGTTATTTCTGTCCAGGGGTACTTATTTTCTTCTGTGATAACCAGAGATCTAATCTGCAAAACCAAAGTTTGCATTTATTTGTTGATAGTAGCAGTGCATAACCTACTGTCCTGTAGGGTGTTATTGCTACTTGGGAATTATTATGAAGAATTGGTATATTGTAGTGTATTTATTGGTGTCATTTTTGTGCTATATAGTACTATCCATTCTCTGGATATATAGGATGAACTAGAAGGCACCATTATTTGTTTACAATAGCACAAATATGATTGATTTCTTTTGTGTGAACTGATAGCACAGTTTTGCTATTTGTGAAAGTCAGAGGAGACATTTTGTTATCTAAATATTTAGGTGAATTTTGTATATTATTTTAAATGTTTCATTGTAAAATGTATTGCTGTAATTTTCAGATGGTATTCAAGTCATACAATAACTATGTAATTGTTTTACAACCATGACTATATTTGTATTGACTCAATATAATTTGAGGCAACATTTTTAATTTTCTAAAATAAAGAAAGGAAATTAAAATGTGTATTTGTGCCTAGACACAATATTTAAGAAATGTGTTTAGAGCAGAAGTATATAGAACATGCACAAAACTATTTCAATGCTAGTAGAGAATTGGGTTATTTTTTAAAACCATGTGAAGGCTTGGGGAAAATGGTATGGATCATTTGATACCGTACTGATAGTCATGAAATACCAAATTAGCATGACAAAAAAAAAAAAAAAAAAAAAATGTACTCTTGGTTGACTGTTGTCAAAATACTTGTGTGCTCAAGTATTTCGACATCATTTAACCATTAAAGTTAAATAATCTGTGGAAGCAAAAGTCTCTTGATGTCTAAGGTTATAAAGTAAACTACATTATTATAATAAAATAAATTATTCCAATGGCTTACTAAATTAATAGTACTTGCAAAAAATATTATTAAAGATATGATAAAACCAGTGAATGAGCAAGACAATATAAAAAAAATGAATGAAGTATCTAACTAAATTGTGTTTAACCCAAATAATTATTGAGAATCAAATGCTTTACTAATGCTAACAGCCTAAAACACGGATCAAGATACAAGAATGCAATTTCAATCTAATGAATACAGGCAGTTTGGGGTTGCTTCCAGTAAAGCATGCTTAGATCCAACACATTGTATACAATAAAAATCACATTGAATTTATATTCTATAATGCTTAAAGAGGCCAGATAAAGTATGTGAATTCGACACCATATACAATCCTATTTCATAAAAGTACCAATCGAGTTCAACATCATATGAGAATCGACTGAATATTTCCAGTAATGAGAGAACATGAATTGAAGAAAGCTTAATTTTAAGCTATGCATTAGTAATAACCACTCACATCAGATGTCTTCCCTCCATGCCTGTGTAAAATTAAAGTGATTATTGCAGTGCTTCTCTTACTTTGTATGGGATTTACATGTGAACTATTTTTATGAAACCCCTAAATCTCGCTCATTGTTGTCATAGAGGGCCTAGGAGATAGAGACTGAGGCCCACTGTAGGGGATCACCCCTACCTTGGACGTCAGCCTTCACCTCAACTAACTTTGTTATATTCTCCCTTTTCCTTCTCTTCTTCATCCTCTTCTGCCCACATCCTGAAGTGTGAGAGCTCTGCTGAAAGGATAAAAGGCTAGCTTTGTGTCAGTCCCATATACCCTTTGTACTCTGTTCACTCTTTATCCTTTTCACTACTATACTAACCTATGGTGCTTTACAACCTTTGACATCTAACATATTTTGTTGTAATTGTGAACTCATTTTTAACCTTTTTGCGTGAATACAGTAACAGTGGTGTATGACAAAAATGTTCTCTTTTTTGTACTTTATTATTATACTACAATGATATTTTTATTACACTATTCAGATTTTTTTCTTAAAAAATAGTAATTACAAGGTGCAATGGCAACTCTAACATGTGGAAACTTCTGTACTATTAAATCAAATTAATAAGAAAAAGATTATCTTCTAAAATGAATGTGTAGGATTTTAATCCTTAGGCTTTTGCCCATTCATTGCTGCGAAGTTCTACTCTTCTTATCTTACCACTGATTGTCTTCGGGAGTGTCTTCACAAATTCTATCTGCAATTTGAAATGCAAATTATGTTAAGAGAACTTCAGTGCATGCAAAAGTTATCATATCAAATGTACAATAGACATATTCTTTGCTGTTTGGATACTATCTATATTTAGGATTCAAAGAATTTCCTGAAAAAATTCACTGTGATGCTGAAAGTACAAAAATTAAAAAGAATGTCTGATGCTCCCTACTTAACCTGCTGGTATATGTATACAAGCATCATCCCCTTTTGTTTTGTTTCATAAATCTTTTTTAAATATAGATGGCTCCAAAACTGCGTAGTCACAAATCCTTGATATCTCGGGAATAAAAGTTGTTATTGTTATTGATATCATTATCAATAATGATAATATTAATAATAATAATAATAATGAATGTTCACAAATCATCAAAAATTCAAGAAATGGGATAAACTGCTTGAGATCTAGTTGGGTTAGTAACTGAAACCTTGTGACAGGCACTTTTGAAGCTATCTGACATTAAACAAACGATAAAGTCAAATCACATGGAGAATGCATGTACCCAGTGTCAATGGCTTGAATGTATTGATAAAATGCAATAATTTCCACTAAAGCTACTAAAATAAGGTATGAGTAAATTTGACCTAAAAATGAACCAATTCCTTAATTTGAAATCCATTAATTGATCATTTAACTTTATAGTCCCATACATTTTAATTTCCACTTTTAGCCAATGTATGATTACCAAAATGAAAAAATGCTTCAAGCAATTTTGAATTCGTGTTATTCTAATGATCATTTTCCTTGGCTGGTCTAAATTTCCTCAGCATGTTTGAGTAAGTTCTGTGTTTCAGCCTGTAACTGCTAAAATAATTACTTTTCTAGGGTACTTGTAAGGCGCTGTATTCTGCTTCACATAGTTCTGCAGTTCAATAATCAGGTCTTCATGTTTGTGGTTCTTGTAGTTGTCAGCCAGAACAACAAATGCCTTCACAACTTCCCCACGGAGACTGTCAGGTGAGGAGACCACTGCTGACTCTACCACAGCCGGGTGCTCAATTAAGACAGACTCCACTTCAAAAGGTCCAATTCTGTACCTATGAATGTTATACAGTGTGAATTTCAAATATCTGATGCCAATTCAAATGCACACAACCTTTTTCAATTTAAATTTCTATGAAGTTTTGAAAGTCTGGAATGACATACCCAGAAGAGATTATGACGTCATCAGCACGGCTAACAAACCAGAAGTAGTTGTCTTCATCATAGTAAGCCCTGTCACCAGTTATATAATAGTCACCTAAAAACACTTTTGATGTCTGTTGCTTGTTGGATACATATCCTGCAATGAAACACGTGTAGGGGGAGAGTAACTGCTTTGAAAGATCATAAATAATTAGAATTTCTTATATCTTCAGACTGATAAGAGAGGTAATCAAAAACTTTATACTTACCATTGAAAAGTCCAACTGGTTTTCCCTCTTTCAAGGAGACAGCCAAGTACCCTTCCTTGTGAGGTTCCAATTCATTCATTTCATCATCAATTACCTGCACACAAAGTATAATTTTCAATAAAGGGGATATGTAATTAGGGAAAATAATCATTTTCTTGTAAGAAAATTGTTCCTGTTCTTTTCATAATGCAAGTAAAGATAAAACTATACTTTCAGTAATAATAATGTGTTGATTAGGCTACAATACAACTCTAAATCAATAGTTACTGCATAACACTGTACTAACAATTTTTGAAGTAAAACAGGTTTGAGGTTACAAAATATGTTCTACTTCTCTTTGTTGAATCTATATTTTGGCAGGCCATCATAATTACATTTACCTTACTAGTAAATGTATACATAAATAACAGATGGTAGTATACTACCATTTTCAGTATTACTTTATTTTGTTCTTATTCCAATGATAGATATTTTTTGATGTTCACTAAATAATCATGAATGCATAAAATATATAAATCTGATACGCTGATATTTTATTTCATATACAATAACTTCTTTTTTGCATTTGCTTGCCTTTAAATTGTAGCCTGGTGCTGGTTTTCCCATGGAACCTGGACGGTAATCTATGCCTTTGTACATGGAGCACAGCAGTGTTGTTTCTGTCTGCCCATATCCTTCATAAATCCTTAAACCTAAAATATGAGAACACTCGCTATATCAGGCAAATGTATACTATGCATGCACATTCTCTTAAAAGCTTCTTAACTATCATTCTGGTTATAGAAATGAACTTTCATATATGTAAACACATACGTTTTAATTCCAAAATGAAATAAGTTAATCTATTTGAAAAAGTTGGCATATTTACCCTACAGCTAATATCTTTCTCCCTTAAGCTCAGGGTTGGGTATAACTTCCGGTACACATTTGAGGTTCAAAAATAAGACTAGATTGTTGTTATGTAACAATGTTACAGTGATGCATGATGTTCACAGGTAACTGCCTAATATATATGACTTTTTTTGTTTGTGTTAAACAGGTAGCAACATTTTAAGGCAGATATTTTCAATGCTCTCACTTCCAACAGCTTAGAAGGCAATAACCTGACTTATAAATAATTAAACTGACTACATTTTGGCAGTGCAACCATATTCAACCCATAGACAGAATGAAAACCAATATTTGGAGTTGACTTATATTTCTCTTATTCCTCACTCACTCACTCACTCTCACACACACACATGTACACACACCAACACATGCTCACGCACATGCACATGCACACGCATACCCTCACACTCTCACTCTCACTCACACACGCACACACACACACAGATAAACATAGGGAAC